ATGTTTCGGAGGAAAGACAGTAGCACAGTTGGAATACTAGTGTGTTTGTGTTTTACAGCTCTGATTGGATTGGCTCTTCTGAAATTGTCCTCTCACCACTTAAATTCTACATTGCCTTCTGTTGAGAAGGAAATAACATACAAATAGATTTCCTTCTAAAAAACAAAAAACAGATTAACACACAGTATGCATTTATGTTTCTGGTATTGTGTAGTAAAGCAACAAAAAAAAAAACTCAAAAATCAAAACTTTTTGATGCAGCGGATGCTGTCATGTACCGGTCCGGCCAGACATGAGTTTCATTGTCATTCAGAGCATGTGTAATAATAATGCCTTGGGTTTTATTCATTGTGTCTTTGATCACATGTATAGCCATAGACGTGTCTGATGACACAAATCATTGTGTTTCCACCAAGGTCAAGTTTCAGACATCTCGAGATTATAAGCGCAAACATCTAACAGATGTGGTCCGCTGTAAATAAGGATATGACTTAAAAGTTTTTGGGATTTTAATTTTCAAGAAAAGTTACCTATATTAATACTTTATACAAACAGCTTCTGATTTCTAACTTGATGTGAATCCAGTGAAGATCAGTATGTGTTTCTGACCTCTTTGGTGTGAGTGGGTTGCTGGTGGCTTTAATGTATTTTGAGGTTATTTTTAGTCTGAGGGATGTTGAGAGATTTACTGAAGTCACTTGACATCAGGACTTCAGTCAGAAAGATTCTCTCCATCTCCCTCCTCATGTTCTCACAGAGAGAGGCCAGCTGCCTTAATTTCTTTCTTTCAGTGTAATTTTTTGTGCTATAGATACATATACAGATAATCTGCACTACTGCCATTTTCAATATTGCTAAACTAGACCACTCCTCCTGAGAGCATTACCAAAGTCAACGTCACACATGCATAGAAATATTTGAAGAAAATCGCTTGTATCTTCGATGTCATTGGAATCAGTCTGATTGTGTGCTCTGTCACATGGTAAAGTCTAATCCAGAGTGTTTCCTGGACTTAACCCTTCAAATTCACATACACGTGTACCATGTGTTCTGTGCTGTAGGTTTGAAATATATGCATTTAAAATATCTGGTGATGTTAAGCATCATATTTGAAGCATGTAATGTTACTGATTCTGATAAGAGGATATTGTGATTGTGCATTAACGTAACTACATATTGATTGTGTGGTATTAGAGAGAAAGATGATAGGATGAGACAGTTTCGCTGAATCTGAAGGATGCAAAACCTTTGGCTGCTCTGCTAAACAGCTACTCAGAGAATGTGAAAGATTTAATACACTGAGTGAGTGTGTGTGTGTGTGTGTGTGTGTGTGTGTTTGTGTGTGTGTGTGCATGGCCATATGGCTGTCATAAGTATTTGTGTTAAGTTTACTTGTCTTTTATGGTCTTTCTTCCACTCTCAAAATCCAGTTGGCTTAGCACATACTGTATAGATTTCAACACAAACATAAGTGTTCTTTTAATAAATAAAATCAATATGTACAATTATATAAAATAACATTTATATTTTTAATTTGTTTAAATATTAATAATAGTCATGTTTATTTATATAAATATAATTAAGTAAAACAATTGACATGTCTGGGTTCACTGGCAGGTCACACATTGTTTTACTCATGCATAACAGTACTGTACATTCCTTGTTTCTTCTTCCTTAAATTAAGTTTGCCGACAGGAACTCGACTAGCAAATTCTCCCTCTCTCTCTCTCTACAAAGCACCAGATTAACAAAATGATTTTACTCTTTTCTTAATCCTTAAACACTCAACCAGACACAACAGCAAGACTGACTTAGATCTGCAATTGCATGCAGACAAATACACAGAAGTCATGCTGCAAAAAAATGCCATGCCAAAACTGATGCCCTTTTTGAGTGTTATCCCAAATAAATGTGATTTCATATAAATGTTTAATTGCAGCCTCAGATTATATTACATTACAAGTTTTGTAATGCCTCTTTGCAATTACCTCATTGCATACTAAGGAATAGTGCACCCAAAAAATTATTTTGCTAAAAATGTATTGACTCTCAGGCCATCCAAGTTGTAGATGAGTTAATTGAAGCCAATTGATATACTGGAGTCGTGTGAATTACTTGGATTATTGTGATGTTTTTATCTGCTGTTTGGACTGACGGCAGTGGCACCCATTCACTGCAGAGGATCCACTGGTGAACAAGTGATTTAATGCTAATTTTTTCCAAATCTGTTCTGATGAAGAAAATGTTTAGGTGAACTAATCCTTTAAAGAGTGAAAGACTTGTCACATTTAAACAGTAGTCCTGCAATTATTAAATGTAAATTTTTGTTCTTTTAAAAAAGCTAAATATACCAGATATGTGCAAAGTGTCAATGTGATGGTCACAACCAATTTTACATCCATAATGTAATCCATTTCCAAAACACTATATATCAATGAAAAAAGTGGTCATACCACTATACAGTAATAAATAAAACATACCTTTAAACTAGATGCGCACTGACCAAATGTGGATCCTATATCTCAGTGGTTATATGTTGACTTCAGCACAGTAAGAGTGGCTTCATTGCCTTATCTAGGCCATTGTAAATGAATGTGGCAGGATCTCTATTCTCAGGTGAGAATCTCATCTTCTCTGTCAGAGATGAAAGGGAGTTTCAGCTTAATTTGAATTGCAAATAAGTGCCATCATACTTCACTGGCAGCTTAAGTTATTTATGAAAGCTCTTTTTATGTTAGTTGTCAGCAGGAATGGTCTTGTTGAGCCATGAATGGAAAATAACTGTTCTGTGATCATTTAAGCAGTGCATATATATGGTTTGGAGATTAATTCAAGAGGCTTTGATACACTTTTTTTTCTTCCATTTTTACAGTGCCAAAGTTTACTTTTGAAACTTGTAGCCTAAGGTTAAAAAAAGCTGGCCTGTTAAATGAATATTGCTCAACATACAGGATAAAAATGATAATACATCAGTAGCATTCATCATACAATTATGGGAAATAGATTTGCTAGTTTAAATGGATGCAAAATTATCCCCACATCCAAGCCTCTAATATGGGCAAAAATCATAAATCTGATCGCTTAGAGCCACATGATTTGTGGCATCATTCATGTTTGTACCACAAACAATGAGAGACATTAATTGGTGGACTGGAGATGTGTGGCTGTGGATTACTTGTGGATTACTGTGATGTTTTTATCAGCTGTTTGGACTCTCATTCTGACGGCACCTATTCACTGCAGAGGATCCATTGGTGAGCAAGTGGTGTAATGCTAAATCTCTCCAAATCTGTTCTGATGAAGAAACAAACTCATCTACATCTTGGATGGCCTGAGGGTGAGTAAATGTTCAGCAAATTTTCATTTTTGGGTGAACTATTCCTTTAATACTGAGGGTCAAGTTTTAATATTATTTCTGCAGCTTTAAATGCATCAGTTTAATTAAAAAACCTGTATAAATGCATATTGTCATATGTGTAGTTTTAGATGCAGTTTCTGTGCTGGCTCACTTCTGCTGCACAACGTGATGCAACAGTCACATGACATATTTAATATTCACAAGTATTATTAATCAATAGTTGAATGGTGTCGACTTAAATAGGGGTTTAACATGCATAGGATGAAAATGATAATGCATCTTTCAAAATACAATCAAAGGAAATGTTTGTAAACATTTGCCAGTTCAGATGTATCCAAGATTACCTCCACCTCTAAGCCTCTATAACATTATGGGACATGATCATAAATCTGATCTCTTAGAGCCACATGATTTGAGACATCATTCATGTTTGTTCCACAAACACTGTGGGATAACTTACAAAGTTTAATAGAAAGGTCAAGGGTTTATGAGCAATAATAGCAGTGATGCTTGCCAAGTTTAAATTTTATTAAAGCCATAGTGTGTGACAAACCTATTGACAAAGATATTATTAGAATTCATAACCCTCCTTACAGCGACCATGTAATCAGCTTCTACGCCATGCCTCATCAGTTCAGTCTCCATATTGCTTATAAGGCTTTCATGGGTGGAACAGACCCCTCCGAGAGACCAGTGTTAAGTCTCAAATCCCTTGTTTCCAACAGCTGTGCGGACCCCATCCGCAATATTACGAATCCTACTATCAAGACTTAGCTTGTGAATATTACTTAGGTCATGTGGATGCTTCTTTGTAATCTTCCTAGAGCTGTGGTTCTCAATCCTGGTCCTGGCTGGAGTACTGTAGCTACATTTTAGATGCCTTCTAATCTAACATAACCAATCAGCTCATTAATAGAGGGTTCAAAACCCGAAATGTGTTCGTTCAGTAAGGGAGATACCCAAAACGTGCAGTGCACCAAAACATTAGTAGTACTAAAATATGGCAGCGCTGACTTACCTCAGCCCTTAAAGCAGTTCGGATGCTGCTGTATATATTTAATTTCTAATTTACAGTTTCATATCTTTATGTGTAATTTCATATTTCATTAATTATTTCACATTTATATATATATATATATATATATCATTGAAGATTTACAATTTACAACAAATTTTTTTTGCCTGTGTAAATGCACATTTTCGTAGTATATGTGTGGCTTCAGTTGCAGCTTCAAAAGTATTATGATGTAATTAATATTCATGAGTATTTGTTAATCAGCAGTTGAATGGTGCGAGATTTAGCGCCTATCAGCCAATCAGTTGCACATACTGTGCTTGGGTTATGAAATTAATTAATATTCATGAGGCGAGCCTTCTCCCTCCTCAATGTCATAATGTGAACTGGCTTTTCAGAAGCGCGGCGCTCAGGAGTTTCTGCAAACGTCTTGGCGTATCCAGTTTAATTTAGTGTTTTTATTTAC